GGAGCGGCCACGCTGGCCGGGCTCAGCACATCTGCTCTAAATCAACTGACTCCAGGACGGGCCGCTTGGCATCAGGCATCCAAATTTTACTCCTACAACCTGCTACTGCCCTCCATGGCAGACCATGCCTCAGTTTCCCTGACTGTATGAAAGGGTTGTAACATCTCCCACACACCTCGGTAAAGATCTTGTGCTTCTATTTTTTGTCAGAGCTTTACCTATAGGTTTTGGGGGCAGTTTCAGCCAGTTGAGAGGTGCTGACAGCACCACCAAGAACACCCAACCTCTGGGCTGCAGCCCCACTCAGGTGTATTTTCAAGCCAAAGTCAGAGCATCATCCTGGATGTCCTTATGCTCTCCAGTGGGAGAGGGGTGTGGGCACCGGCCACCCGCCTCTGGCAGTGTCTCCAACACACGCTGAACAGCCCAGTTCTCCATCAAGGGAGAGAAGATACTCCCAAAGGAGCAATTGCTGGTCCCCCAGCCCTAGGGGAAAATCTCAGTGAATTAATGAGCTGCCAAAATACTGCTGTTGGGTAAAGAAGGAGGCCCAAGGCATTAGCGGGTCCTGGGTCAGCATGGAGGCCTGTAGCTGCCAGAGCTAATGGTTGCACCTTTAAGCGCTGCACCTTGGTTCCACTTCTTGTGACACCTGCGCTGGAAGGACTTGATGCCTCCCAAGAAATGCCAAACCAAGAAGCTTTTAAAAACTACTGAACTGCCTTGTTAAGAGGCAGGGGACATGTGCGCCTAATCCAGTCTTAAAACTAATGATTTAATTTACCTCAGGAGAAGCAAGCCAGCATAAATTAGTATCTCCCAGTAGCATAACATAAGCATGTTTTATCTGGAGATTATGTTGATTAAATCATCAAGTGCCATAATCTTCCCTTCCTACCTCAATCAGATGGGGAAAGAAAAAAAAAACCAACCTAAAAATATAGATACAGCCTTCTAAGCCACGGGAGGGAACTGCACATCCATCTCCAGGCGCTCTCCTCGCCCAGGAAAGCACGCACACAAGACTCCCCGCCCTGGAAGAAGCTGCTCCAGCCGGTGCGGTACCAAGAGGTAAAATGAAGCTACGTGTTCAGAATTGAAGAGATGCCAGGAGACAGGGGCTGGAGGAGCTGAGAGGCGGGATAGGAGTTACACAACAGGGCTTCACTCTGCAGATGTAACTGCAGAAA